AGCAAAAGAGAAGAGCATCAATCTGTTGCCAAGTAAGGGCCTCAGCATTCCTGCTCCAGTAATGCAAGGACAGTGCAACCAGCTTCCATTTATTTTCAAACTGGCCCAATTCATCAGGTAAGACTTCAAATATATTACAAAGCAATCCAAGTCTTTCTTCATCTCTTAGTGCATCTACATCTGTGATTAGACACTGCGGAGCTGCAAGTGGTCTGACTGGCTTAAACTGTATATCACATTGACCAATGCGCATTCCTTCTTCGACTTTTTGTACCTCTAGGTAAGGTTTTAATAAGCCGTACATGTATTCCCTTAGAGGCTTGCCAATCTTCATACTGGACTCTTTTTTAGGATTATCAGTGATCATTGGTAGAATACATTCATTGAGAATCATTGGATCCAGCACTGAAGTTGAGAAACATCCATCACGATATTGCTCGAGTATCCATGAAGGCAGTGGTGTCCCATTGGCTGTCTTTAACTCTGTGCTCTTTCTGGCATCATCCATACTTATTTCATCAATGCTGTACATATCTTTTGCCTTGTGAAAGTTTTCTCTGATAGCCATCACTTGCTCTGACTTGCAGAACCTAGAGAGAAATTTCTCAACAGATCTAAAGGAAGCAATCCATTCAACCAATTCATCAGTATTCATAGTATTTTCTCCTAAGTGTGGAGACTCAAGGAAATCATTACCAATCAGTGCCGGTATCAGATAAATAATTTCAGGTTCACGAAAGATTGCAGAGAAATTGCTCAAGTGATAAATCTTTGCATTTATTGGCTTGGACTCCCAGTAGAAGTACTCAAAAGGTATGTAACCACCTTTAACATTGAAAATGTAATAATCGGAATCGCTAGAGAGAACTGGGCAGCCATAAAAATTTGATATGGACACAGTCAAACTATCTGCATCTCCATCAGCAACGATAAAGGGGATTCTAAGTTCTTTTAATACCTCCATAAAGACAACTTTAGCAAAAACTGGCAAACATGAACGCGGACCATCTATAGGATAGTTACCATATAAAAGCAGAGATTGAATGCATTTTGCCGTCTTCTCTTTCCTCTCTAGAATAACTCGGGCTTTCTCACCTTCGTAATCCACACCATCAAATACAAAAATAGGCTCTATACCTGATTGTCTTAGGTTGGCCAAGAAAGCCCGGCATTTCTGATCAAACTCTTTGTACTGGCCGCCATATGTCCAGTCTATCCCATCATAGAGAGAATAACAGCAGCTCATGGCGTCTATCAGCAACTGTCCTCTTAGCGGAGAATCTTTTCCTATCTCTTTCCATTCGTAATTCTTTTGCATGTAGGTTGTAAGGCCCTTGATACCCATAATAGTAGCCTAGAATTTTAAAGTTAAGTGCGCGTATAAGCAGAAGAGCAGCCACACCCTTACACTTTATAACACCCACTTAATGTCTATAATAGCTTATAAAAATAAATTCATTGTCATTAAAAGAGTAGCAAAACTAAAAAAGCCAAGCATTATCATGTTAGTTTTCTTCATCGGAATCACCTTCATCAGAATCATCACTTTCAAGATCAAGGAGTTCAAAACGATTTGCAGTACTAACTGTTGTACTGTAAATCTTCTTTGCTGCTGCTGCAGGTTGCTTATGCTTCTCTTTGCTTGCTTTATGAGATGAGCTGCCCTTAGAAACCTCTCTAGCACTGCATATTGATAACAGCTCCTCATAAAGTTTTGCCATATCTGGAAATGTAGTCAGCGTCTCTTCTTTGATAGCATCAAAATCTGCTTCTTTCATGCAAGCATAATTTAAGCATAGTCTACCATCAAATAAAAGAGCTGGAGAAGTGAATTCAAGTGGTCGTTTAAGGACATCATTCAGTTTCATGGCCTCATAATACACGCATTGCCACATTGAGAGAGAGTGGAGGCTGTCAAGCTGGCGATTGATCCAATGACCATCAATCTGAAAACGAAAATGACTAGCAATAATGCCCCTTCCTTGCTCACTGGAACAAACCACAAAGCAAAAGAGAAGAGCATTGATCTGTTGCTGAGTAAGGGCCTCAGCATTCCTGCTCCAGTAATGCAAGGACAGTGCAACCAGCTTCCATTTATCTTCAAATTTGTCCAATTTATCTGGCAAGACTTCAAATATATCACAAAGCAATCCAAGTCTCTCTTCATCTCTTATTAAGTCTACATTTGTGATTAGAGACTGAGCAGTAAGTGTTTTGACTGTATATTGTACATCATATTGACCAACACGTACACATACATGTGCATGTATGCCTTCTTTGACTTTTTGTACCTTTAGATAAGGTTTTAATAAGCCGTACAAGTGTCTCCTCAGAGGCTCACCAATCTTCATATTGGACTCCATCTTAGGATTATCAATGATCATTGGCAGCATACAATCATTAAGAACCATTGGCTCCATTACTGAGGTTGAGAAGCATCCAGCACGATATTGCTTGAGTATCCATGAAGGCAGTGATGTCTTATTGGCTGTTTCCAGTTTTGTGCTCTTCATAGCATCATCCATACTTATTGCATCACTACTGTACATTTTTTTCGCCTCGTGAAAGTTTTTTCTCACTTGCTCTGACTTGCAGGAGCTAGAAAAAAATTCCTCAACAGATGAGAATGAAGCAATGTGGTCAACCAGCCGAGCAACCAGTTCATCATCACTATAAATAGTATGACCTCCCTTGCCTCTTCCTTCCACCCCTCCATCAATGACTGAGGTTATTACATCTCGTCTTTCGTCTGGAGACTTAAGGAAATCATTGCCAATCAGTGCTGGTATCAGGTAAATAATATCGGGGTCACAAATTTTTACGGGGAAATTGCTCAAATGATAAATCTTTCCATTTATTGGCTTTGATTTCCAATGGAAGTGCTCAAAAGGTATGTAACCACCTTTAACATTGAAAATGTAATAATCAGAATCGCTGGCAAGAACTGGGCATCCATAAAAATTTGCCATTGATGCAGTCAATTTATCTGCATCTCCATCAGCAACAATAAAGGGAATGCTAAGTTCTTTTATTACCTCCATAAAGACGAGTTTAGCAAAGACTGGCAAACATAAACAGCCATCTTTGTACTTGCCCTCTAAAAGTACAGTTTGAATACATTCTGCTTTATCCTTTCCTCTCTCTTGAAGGGTGGAGGCTTTCTCTCTTTTGTAATCCACACCATCAAACACAAGAATAGGCTCAATACCGGATTTTTTTAGGTTGGTCAAGAAAGCCCTACATTTCTGATCAAGCTCTTTGTACTGGCCGCCATATTTCCAATCTATTCCGTCATAGAGAGAGTAACAACAGCTCATGGCGTCTATCAGCAACGGGCCGCTTAGTGGGGGATCTTTTCCTATCTCTTTCCATTTGTAACTCTTTTGCATGTAGGTTTTAAGGCGCCAGATACCCATTATAGCCTGTATAAAATTTTTAATCTAAAAGTACGCAGAAGAGCAGCCACACCCTTAAAGAAGCCACACTTAGTAACACCCAATATTATGACTATAAAAAAATTAATTCATTGCCATTAAAGGAGTAGCAAAACTAAAAAGTCAAGCATTATCATGTTAGTTTTCTTCATCGGAATCATCTTCATCAGAATCATCACTGTCAAGATCAAGGAGCTCAAAACGATTTGCAGTACTAACTAGTGTACTGTAAGTCTTCTTTGTTGCTGCTGCAGGTTGCTTATGCTTCTCCTTGCTTGCTTTATGAGATGAGCTACCCTTAGAAACCTCTCTAGGGCTGCATATTGATAACAGCTCCTCATAAAGTTTTGCCATATCTGGAAATGTAGTCAGAGTCTCTTCTTTGATGGCATCAAAATCTGCTTCTTTCATGCAAGCATAATTTAAGCATAGTCTACCATCAAATAAAAGAGCTGGAGAAGTGAATTCAAGCGGTCGTTTGAGGACATCATTCAGTTTCATGGCCTCATAATACACGCATTGCCACATTGAGAATGAGTGGAGGCTGTCAAGCTGGTGATTAGTCCAACGACCGTCAATTTGAAAACGAGAATGACTAGCGATAATGCCCCTTCCTTGCTCACTGGAATAAACTACAAAGCAAAAGAGAAGAGCATCAATCTGTTGTTGAGTAAGGGTCTCAGCGTTTCTGCTCCAGTAATGCAAGGACAGTGCAACCAGCTTCCATTTATTTTCAAACTGGCCCAATTCATCAGGCGAGACTCTAAATATATCACAAAGCAATTCAAGTCTCTCTTCATCTCTTAGCGAGTCTAAATCTGTGATTAGACACTGAGCTGGTTTGACTGGCTTAAACTGTATATCACATTCACCAACACGCACTCCTTCCTTGACCTTTTGTGCCTTTAGATAAGGTTTTAATAAGCCATACAAGTGTCTCTTCAGATGCTCGCCAATCTTTGTACTGGACTCCTTTTTAGGATTATCAATGATCATTGGTAGAATACATTTATTGAGAATCATTGGATCTAGTACTGAGGTTGAGAAGCATCCAGCACGATATTGCTCGAGTATCCACAAAGGCAGTGGTGTCCCGTTGGCTGTCTTTAACTCTGTGCTCTTTCTGGCTTTATCCATACTTACTTCATCAACCTTGTACATATCTTTTGCTTTGTGAAAGTTTTCTCTGATAGCCATCACTTGCTCTGAGTTGCAGAACGTAGAGAGAAATTTCTCCACAGATGAAAAAGAAGCAATCCATCCAACCAATTCATCGGTATTCATAGTTTTTCACTGGAACAGGTAAGCTGTTCACTTTCTTTACCTTGATGATTCGCCATACCGTAGCTAGTGCTGCTGAAAATTGCTGCGAGTAGGAAATGTGGCTGAGTTATGACACGCCCAATATTGGGTGGAGCTAGCTTCCTGCAAATATAATCATAGATGTTAGAGTACAAGAAATACTCTAATATCTATGATATAATTCAAATGCATGCAGTGTAATGTCCTATGGATAAAGTTCTTAACATTAATGTTTCTATAAAAAATTTTTGAAAATAATTAAAAGATTAGCATAAAAAATATATATTGTCATAAAAAAGATAACAAAACTAAAAAGCCTAACATAATTGGTTTTCTTCATCAAAATCTGGAGGGAGCTCAAAAGGATTTTTAGTACTAACCGGTGTACTGTGGGCCTTCTTAGCTGCTGCAGGTTGCTTATGCTTCTCCTTGCTTGTTTTATGAGATGAGCTACCCTTAGAAACCTCTCTAGGGCTGCAAACTGATAACAGCTCCTCATAGAGTAATGCCATATCCAGAAATGAAGTCAGCGTCTCTTCTTTGATGGCATCAAAATCTGCTTCTTTCATGCAAGCATAACTTAGGCACAGTCTACCATTAAATAAAAGAGCTGGAGAAGTGAATTCAAGCGGTCGTTTAAGAACATCATTTAGTTTCATGGCCTCATTATACACACATTGCCACATTGAGAATGAGTGGAGGCTGTCAAGCTGGCGATTGGTCCAACGACCATCAATCTGAAAACGAAAATGACTAGCAATAATGCCCCTTCCTTGCTCACTGAAATAAACCACAAAGCAAAAGAGAAGAGAATCAATCTGTTGCTGAGTAAGGGCCTCAGCGTTTCTGCTCCAGTAATGCAAGGACAGTGCAACCAGCTTCCATTTATCTTCAAATTTGTCCAATTTATCTGGTGAAACTCCAATTATATCACAGAGCAATTTGAGTCTCTCATCATCTCTTATTAAATCTACATTTGTGATTAGGGACTGAGCAGTAAGTGTTTTGACTGTATATTGTACATCATATTGACCAACACGTACACATACATGTACATGTATGCCTTCTTTGACTTTTTGTACCTTTAGATAAGGTTTTAAGAAGCCATACAAGTGTCTCCTCAGAGGCTCGCCAATCTTCATATTGGACTCCTTCTTAGGATTATCAATGATCATTGGCAGCATACATTCATTAAGAACCATTGGCTTCATTACTGAAGTTGAAAAGCATCCAGCACGATATTGCTTGAGTATCCATGAAGGTAGTGGTGTCCCATTGGCTGTTTCCAGTACTGTGCTCTTCATAACATCATCCATACTTATTTTATCAACACTGTACATTTCTTTTGCCTTGTAAAAGTTTTCTCTAATAAGCATTACTTTCTCTGACTTTAGTGACTTGCAGGAGCTGGAGAAAAATTCCTCAAAGGATGAGAGGGAAGCAATGTGGTCAACCAGTCGAGCAACCAGTTCATCATCAATATAGATATTATTTCCTCTCCTGCCTATCCCTCCACCAATGACTGAAGTTATCACATCTCGTGTTATGCCTGGAGACTCAAGGAAATCATTACCTATCAGTGCTGGTATTAGGTAAATAATCTCAGGGTCACGAAATTTTGCAGAGAAATTGCTTGAATGGTAGATCTTTCCGTTTATTGGCTTTGATTTCCAATGGAAGTATTCAAAAGGTATGTAACCACCTTTAACATTGAAAATGTAATAATCGGAATCGCTGGCAAGAGCTGGGCATCCATAAAAATTTGCCATTGATGCAGTTAAACTATCTGCATCTCCATCAGCAACAATAAAGGGAATCCTAAATTTTTTTATTACCTCCATAAAGACGACTTTAGCAAAGACTGGCAAACATAAACAGCCATCTGCTTTGTACTCATTGCCCTCTAAAAGTACAGTTTGAATGCATTTTGCTTTATCCTTTCCTCTCTCTTTAAAAGTGGAGGCTTTCTCTCTTTTGTGATCCACACCATCAAATACAAGAATAGGCTCTATACCGGATTCTTTTAGGCTGGCCAAGAAAGTCTTACATTTCTGATCAAGCTCTTTGTACTGGCCACCATATTTCCAGTCTATTCCATCATAGAGAGAGTAACAGCAACTCATGGCGTCTATCAGCAACGGGCCTCTTAGTGGAGGATATTTTCCTATCTCTTCCCATTTGTATCTCTTTTGCATGTAGGTTTTAAGGCCCTTGATACCCATAATAGTAGCCTAGAATTTTTAAAGTTAAAGCCTAACATTCACTAGGCAATTTTGTTGACATCAACAGCAATTTTGTTGACATCAACAGCAATTTTGTTGACATCAACAGCAATTTTGTTGAAACAACGAAGTTGACACACATCAAAGTAACCACAAAGTTGCTTTCACACGTGGATATAAAACAGGAAGTAAGCTACATTATACACAAATTTATATGGGCGACGTCATGACTAGCGTTCCTGTGTTAATTTAAAAATTACTTGTTGTGTTGGTCCATTATCTGTTTATGCTAGGTCTTCTTCATACACTAAAGCTATAAAAATGTCTTCAGCATGTATCTACATTTTTTTATTGATTTTTTCTTTTATCAATTTTTCCCATTGTGTTGTGTCAACAAACATGCCTGTTATGAAGTACAGCAAGAAAAGAATAGGAGCCAAAACAAAAAGGACTGGTTCATATTGATGTTGGAAGGCCTCTATCTGAAATTGAAAGAACTCTTCTAGGTTTTAAAAGTTGTTTTTTAAGAATAAAAACTGTATTTATAGTATCAACCACGTGTTGGAAACGTCACTTTAATCACATCCGGTGAAATGAGATCTAGCTAGAGGATCGGTACATCCTGTTTCATATCCACACCCTTAAAGCCACACTTTATAACACCATAGCAACACCCACTTGTCTATATTAGCATACAAAAATAAATTCATTGTTATCAAAAGAGTAGCAAAACTAAAAAACCAAGCATTATTGTGTTAATTTTCTTCATCAGAATCATCTTCATTGGAATCATCACTGTCAAGATCAAGGAGTTCAAAACGATTTGCAGTACTAACTGGTGTACTGTAAGTCTTCTTTGCTGCTGCTGCAGGTTGCTTTTGCTTCTCCTTGCTTGTTTTATGAGATGAGCTACCCTTAGAAACCTCTCTAGCACTGCATACTGATAACAGCTCCTCATAAAGTTTTGCCATATCTGGAAATGTAGTCAGCTTCTCTTCTTTGATGGCATCAAAATCTGCTTCTTTCATGCAAGCATAATTTAAGCATGGTCTACCATCAAATAAAAGAGCTGGAGAAGTGAATTCAAGCGGTCGTTTAAGGACATCATTCAGTTTCATGGCCTCATAATACACGCATTGCCACATTGAGAGAGAGTGGAGGCTGTCAAGCTGGCGATTGATCCAACGACCATCAATTTGAAAACGAAAATGACTAGCAATAATGCCCCTTCCTTGCTCACTGGAACAAACCACAAAGCAAAAGAGAAGAGCATTGATCTGTTGCTGAGTAAGGGCCTCAGCATTCCTGCTCCAGTAATGCAAGGACAGTGCAACCAGCTTCCATTTATCTTCAAATTTGTCCAATTTATCTGATGAAACTCCAAATATATCACAGAGCAATTTGAGTCTCTCTTCATCTCTTATTAAATCTACATTTGTGATTAGGGACTGAGCAGTAAGTGTTTTGACTGTATATTGTACATCATATTGACCAACACGTACACATACATGTGCATGTATGCCTTCTTTGACTTTTTGTACCTTTAGATAAGGTTTTAATAAGCCGTACAAGTGTCTCCTCAGAGGCTCACCAATCTTCATATTGGACTCCATCTTAGGATTATCAATGATCATTGGCAGCATACAATCATT